CCATGGTGAGCTTGTTTGAGCTCCCAGAGTAGGCTTAGTTGGGCCGACTTCCCGCAAATCTCCGTTTGACCCAGGCTTGCTCTCTCTGCTTCTCTTTGCTCGGACCACACCTTTCTGGTCCCCGGCAGCGAAACGAAGACCCAAGCATTCGGCGCAAGAACAAGGGTGTGGCGGATCCCGACGATGCTTGTTACGCCAACAACACGCCAATCGAAAGGAACAAATTAACCCAGATATATTCCTCACAAGAGCCAACTTCCCACATGGCGAGGGAACATGCCCCCATGCCTGAACAGGGCAAGACGGAAGATGACCGGCCCTCTCTGTAACAATTGCCAATGGGAGCAACCCCCCTGGTCTCCGGCGTATCAAAAAGCCGGACCAACACTAAAGGAAAGTTTGACACTTCATACGGCTGAATGGCGTTACGAGTTTATTGTTCTCCCCGGAAAGCTGCATTGCTGATGGCTTGGAGTAGGGGCGGAAGGGGGGTGGAAGAGAGGTAAGGTATGCCGGCGGGGGCCCACACGGAGCATAGGACCCACTTTGCCGAACGCCTCTTCCCATTGTGGTGGCACGGTGGGCGCCCCCGATTGACATTGTTCTCGGATGTGTGTGGGGCAACGTTGCTATTGTCCAACGCCTCCGGCCCATCGCTTCGCAACCACACCCGCCGGCTGAGGAATCGCACCGCCCGTCGTATCCCAGCGCCAACCCGTCCCGAAAGCAGTTGGATCAAGTCTCGGATATCCCAGCCATGAACCACTCCTTCGGTCCTTCCCACCCCTGGTGCATTTTACCCTTCCCGAATCTTCTGAGCAAGATGAAGAGATCCTCTTCACTCACCCCAGCAAATCACACAGCCTCCCCTGCCAGACCACTGACTCCGGCGCCGGGCCATTGTTGGCGTGGTTGGAACTGGTCTGATCCTCAGCTGTTGGAACACCTTGTGACTTATTCCGGCGTACATCGATATGTCCAAAAGGCGACGTTGGTTGACTGCGGCTGATATCAGAGAAGGCCCTCCCAAATGTTCCCACAATTCTTCTCGGCATGGACTTCCATGGTGCCAGGCTCATTCGAGGATTGGCTTTCTTGAAGTTCATCTTGGCTGACGGGGGGCGTTGACATTGCCAACCACCCTCTACGTTGACGGGTAGGCAGGCAACCCGGCAGAGTTTCCCCCTGTCTCCCAGAATGCTGGCAGCAAGCCCGCGAAGCAATGCCATGGCAGAAGCAGTGAACTTTGCCGAGTCCGGATGCTCTTTCCAGGGTAGTGCGGAATGAGACCGGCCTCACAGGTCCCTGTTGTCTTCGTTCGCTCGCCTAGGGTTGGGTGTGGTGGCATATCGTACCCTGGGCTTCCATCCGCTCCAACGCTTCTGCACTCGGCCGTAAGGACGAGCAAATCCCTCAGCGGTGATTGAAAAAGAAAAAAGAAAAAAAGTTTGCCAAATCGCCAGAGAATGATCTTCGTCATTCCATCACGAACGCGCTGGCTTGTGATGACACAACGTAGTATGCCGACTGCATCTGCATGTCATCTGGTAAGGGTATGTGTTCGTTGGCCATCTTGCAAATTAACATGCCATGAACTACTCTAGCTTCAGGCTCATCGGCCATATTGATTGCATGTTCTAGAATGATTTCAAAGGGCTGACAGATCCAATCATCAACTCACTGTCATCGGGTCACCAACTACCCACCAGCCACCGGGCTCTTCAGGTAACGTACCACGTTGGTCTCCCCAACTATGATCGCCGATTCGAGATCCATTATTCCATATTCTCCGACTTCCCGTAGACCGGTGTACGCCTCGTCACTTGGCTCGGTGTGATGAAGCCACCTCCACCGGTCTAACCCCCCCGACGATGACCATCAGATGCCGACCACGAAACGCCAACATGCACGTAACGTGGCGATCATGAACTAGTTCCAACTGCACATTCTGCTGCCGCTCGACCTACTCGGCATAGTGCCGACCAACCACGCAAAGGCACGGCAGGTCCCAAACATGATCCAGCGTGGTGGCTTGGCAGAGCTAAGCCAAGACTGTAAGGCGGGCAGGTACACATGTTCATGAGAAGAACATCGGCTTATACCTTTCTTCCGCTGAACCGCCATCCACCAAATTACGCAGTTGACACGGCGGTATCCGTAGATTGGTGTCAATGAGCCCTCTGATATTGATTAGCCCTCAAAGCAACAACTACAACAACAACTTCATGTGCCGGCGCGAGTCCGCTTGCAGCATTCATGATATCCACTATGAAAACCGAAAGTGTTTCGAGGTCGCTTTCTACAAACAGGCCACCTCCAAATGCGATTCGGCCGTAGACATGAGTGGCTCAAGCGCACAACGACTTACACAAATCATCGTTGAGACGGAGCTGCTTCCCCTCGTCTCTGGTTGGGTACCGTTGGGATGGTTTGACCTAATATTCCCAGGTTAAGCCCAAAACCTAAGCCCCCCACCACTAACCTCTCCCTCACTCCTTTCTCTCTTGTCCTTGTGCTTGTTTCCTTTTCATTCGAACCACTCCCATGCCTCCCCGTAGATGAAGATCTCATCGTATGCACGCTACTACCACGTATCTGTGTCACAAGCTTCACAGGAGCAGCGCGCCACCCAATCAATTCTAGGAGGAAACGACATGGAGACAAGATCGGGGGTTTTGGGGTTACACACGGGATACCATCGTGCTTCACTTCGGTCGATACGACTATCCCAAACGGGAAGCGTGAAGAGGAAAGTATTCCGCCCAGCCAGGTCGAGTCTGCTTCAGCCTTATTGTCGCGAACTTTTGTGTAACATGTTAGTATGAGGTAACTCCAGGAGTCCAGGTATTTTAACGTCAGCTGAGGTCAGCCGTTACCATTCAGTCGACAGCGAAAAGAGGGGACCGTCCAAGCGGAAATCAAATCGTTGCTGACATTGATCACTTGACACACTGGCAATGACAAATGAAACTCATGAATGAAAAGACTTCGGGATGGAATGCCAAAGTTCACATTTTTCGCTTTGTGGAGCTAAGAAATGCCCATTCTCTCACCGTTACTTGCGCAACGCAAACCACCCCGGAGAATCGTCAACTTCGGGAACAGAAACCGGGCCGCAAACCTTGCTACTGAACAATGCCCTCCGAACTTCATGGACCGCCACGGGGCCCCAGAGACGCATTCATCGACGGAAGACTTTCCATATTCCCGTGGTTCCCGTGTTTGCGGCCCGGGGTTTGTGTGACGGTCTCCGGAGGTTAGAGGTCTATTCATGTCTTTATTTGGGTACGGGGTGTGCTAATGCGATACGTTTGTTCGGAAGAAAGGGAGACAAGATGGGATATGAATGATGATGGTTCCTGGTACGCGTATCAAGATGCTGGAGAAAGTGACACAGGGAGGATTCAATGTCTTTGTGCTTGGTCGCAGAATATTACGAACTGTTTGACGACAAGTAATGTCTCAAAGTGAAATATTGACTGACAACCACTTGCCTAGATGAATTCATAAGCGTGTAAGAAAATAACACCTCCACCCAAGCGTCTCCTTCGTCTAAATCGAGAGTACATGGCTGAATATGAAGAACCACGCCAAAACCCAAGCAATCACTCACTGATCATTTCCCAGTACATACAAGACCACAAAAATACAAAAACACGAATTGCCACCAGCACTGCTACATATATGAAGCGGAAATGACAAAAATTGAAAGGGACGAGACTCGAACTCGCGCGGGTTGCCCCACCAGGAAACAGATGTTAAGCTGACCTTAACCTGGCGCCATAACCAACTCGGCCACCCTTCCGTGTGAGGTCGCCCAGCTCCGGTGGATTGCTCCACAGAACCCGGCGGGCATTGTGTGACGGCTGCATCGAGAAAGGGTCCTATATAGGATCAATGCTGTGTCTTGGAAAGTCGACGGCATCGCTCTCATCGCAGGTTGGCCGCGATACTTTTGGCACCCGTTTTGTGACACGTCAATTTGGCGGAAAGGGGTTTCTTTCGCAGGGTTCCTCCGACCGGCGGAAAGTTCTTCGAAAAGGTATACTCCGAATTAGACTTTCCGTCCTGCATGCTGAAAGTCCGACTTTGAGTCTACGGACAGTCAGTTTCTGTCCCTATCCGAGGATACAGTCAGGCAGCGTGTCAACCGCTGTAGCGCCCCGCGTCATGCGGTTGAGAAACATGTCTAGGATAGCCCGCCCGCGTTGAGACTAGGTTCCTTCTAGAATCTCGTCATCTGCGAGGGGACGTCCCGAGACACGTCGTGAAATTCAGGCGGTGAAGCTTGATAGAAGTGCTAGCCGTTGTCTGGTCCACGTCTTCATTGGTTCACAATTGCATGTCGTAGACGTCAAGTTCGTGAGATCCTCGTCTCTATTGCCAGTAGCCAAATGGTCTACCTATCTACAAATCATGAGCTCTCTCCAAGCCCACCCCTCACATCATCCCCATGCCCAAAGATAACCTCTGAGGCCTGTCTCCCCCGGCTAATTCGCCTCTGCCACCCTCAACCGCGCAAGAGATGGTCGGCTAGAAAACCAGGAAAGAAAAGATGTTGAAGTTCTTTTGTTTCCCCGTTAACGCCGTTGTAGATGCTTTGTTCCCCTTTCGAACAATCCGAAGGGTATCTTTCTCATAATGCATTGCTCTTTTTGTGACTTTGGAAAAAAAGAAAACGAAAAAAATCGCTTCAGGATTTGTTCCTGTGTAACCCGCTTTGTGTCTTTGTTGAAAGACGCCACCGCTCCCTTGTTCCGATTGTTTTTAACACCATTTGACATAATATGAAAAAACGATCCTACCAAAAAGACCACGCCCTCGTGTCTTGATGTTGTTGTTGCCTTTACCCGAAAAGGCTGGAAACCGGGATTCGTTGAGAACCGTACGCCATGTTTGAGTGCCTGTCCGCATGAATATCAAAATTATTATAAACGTCTAGGTCGTTGCAATGCAGGAAGCTTGTTGAAGAAATCCTGCTCGGTCCAGTACTAAATGACTTAGAACTTGAGAGTCTTAGGCTGCTCCCAGGTGAAGGTCTGGTTGGTACCGAAGTGACCGTTCTTGGCGGTCTGGAGGTAGATGGGGCGGTCCAGGCTGAGCTCGCGGACAATGACACCGGGGCGGAGGTCAAAGTTGTCACGGATGATCTTGACGAGCTCGTCGGAGGTCTTGTCGGAGGTGCCGTAGGTGTCGACGTAGATGGAGAGGGGCTCAGCGACACCAATGGCGTACGAGAGCTGGACAAGGGCACGGCGGGCGAGGCCGGCGTTGACCAGGGACTTGGCGATCCAGCGACCGACGTAGGCAGCGGAGCGATCGACCTTGGAGAAATCCTTGCCGGAGAAGGCACCACCACCGTGGGCACCCCAGCCACCGTAGGTGTCGACAATGATCTTGCGACCGGTCAAACCGGCGTCACCCTGGGGGCCACCAATGATGAAGAGGCCGGAGGGTTGGATCTGATGAATGTTAGCACGGAGGCCAGGAAGTAGCGCAACATTGTTGGACTCACGTGGTAGACGGTCTTGTCGTCAAGGTACTTCTCGGGGATGACCTTCTTGATGATATTCTCCTTGATCTCCTTGCGGAGCTGCTCGGTGGTGATGTCCTCAGCGTGCTGGGCAGAGACGACAACGGTATCGACGCGCAGGGGAACAACAGCACCGTTGTCGTGCTTGTACTCGATGGTGACCTGGGTCTTGGTGTCGGGGCGGAGCCAGGGGAGGGTGCCGTCACGGCGGGCAGCGGACATGGCAGCGTTGAGCTTGTGGGCGAAGAGGAGGGTGAGGGGGAAGAGCTCAGGGGTCTCGTCGGTGGCGTATCCGAACATGATACCCTGGTCACCGGCACCGAGCTGCTCGAGGGCCTTCTCGTAGTGGAGACCCTGGGCGATATCGGGGGACTGCTGCTCAATGGCGACGAGCAGGTTGAGGGTCTTGTAGTCGAAACCCTTGGCGGAGTCATCGTAGCCGATGTCCTTGACGGCGTCACGGACGACCTTCTGGTAGTCGAGCTTGGCCTTGGTGGTGATCTCACCGAAGACCATGATCATACCGGTCTTGGTGGCGGTCTCGCAAGCGACCTTGGAGAGGGGGTCCTCTCTCAGGCAGGCGTCGAGGATGGCATCGGAGACCTGATCGGCGATCTTGTCGGGGTGACCCTCACCAACAGACTCGGACTATATCGGGAGTTAGCATGGGTATTCGGCATAAGGACGGTCGGCAATTAGCGACCGAAAGATTTTGCTTACGGTGAAGAGGAAGTTGCCCTCGTTGTAGTGCGTGCGGCTGGCAATGCCGTTGCCGTTGACACCCTTGGTAGCAGACATCTTGTATAGATATGTGTGGGAGTGTGTATGTGAAAAGATGTGAAGAGAAGAAAAAAGTTTGAGGAGTTCGGTGCCGTGAAAAAATACCGACGCGGGGTTCCGAGGGGCTATGAAGACAGCAATGGGTAAAAGCTACTTCTGGATTCAATGGGTCAGCCGTTTGTTCTCTTTTCTCTGGGTCTGCGTGGAGCGAAGAGAAGCTCAACGCAAAGTCAATTGCTTACCTTTTGGGATGGAGAGAAGGGACACGGAGGAAGGTGAGGCTTGTGGATGTAGAAGGAGGAAAGAGTGCGAAAGGAGGAAGAGGAAGATGTGGCCGTTCGGGTTTTAAAAGAAACACAAGACGAGCAGCGCGACCTGGGGATGGGGACTTTGGGACCCGACTTGGGACTTGGGATGGCCGGTTGGGAAGAAAATCTCGCTCCTCACTTGCTCCTCACTTGCTCCTCTCCTCTTGCTCCTGCTCCCCTCTAAGGTACCTCCTCTGTACGGGAGTATCTGGATGTACCTTTTGGTTCCGTACCAAAAGCTCAAGCGGATTTGAGGCACTATTCGTGGGAGACATTGGCCGAGGAGCCGGGCGGTAGGGAAGGTACCCACACAAGCATAGTAAATTAAGGTGGTGGGAAGGTATATTCGCCGGTCAACCCCTCCATGTCTATGTACCAGCCCTGTCGAGGGGGAGGGTCCAAAATTCTCCAGATTGCGCCATCCTCACGACTTCTCTCCCTTGACCGCCTTCACCTTCGCAGCATATCTGTGACCTGTGTCAGTCAGGCACACTCTCATTAGCAGAAAAGGCACCGTTCCAAACACTCTTCAGGCCACATTACAGCACCCCCGTGTACCGCTACGGCCACCGCTTGGCCGGTGAGTTGCGGTTCAACAAGATAGTGGTATCAGGGCGGCCTGGCTTGCTGGCCTCTTCCTCAACTGCCCGTAGAAGGGAGCAAAAGCTCGGATTTACACAGTCACCAGGATACGCACTCCAACGAGAGCAGCGGTGATCGTTCCCCGAGGGAGCTCGGGCTTCCTCTGTTTCGTCCTTTCCATTTTCCCCCTAGCCTTTTGTCCCTCCCGGCCAAGGCCAGCACAAGCCTAGTGGTGTTCAGAACCTTATCCTCGCCTCATAAAACTAACATTTGTATAGGTAAGCAAAGTACGGGACATAAGAAGCAGTGCATCGCGCAATTGCTGTGGACAAGCACGGGAGCTGAAACTCTCCACGGGAACTTTGCTGACCAGAGACTGTTTCTTTTCAGACTCTTCTAGTTCTGTCTTTCCTACCAATGCATTGTCAAGCAATGACAATCCGCAAGGCGCCCCTTTCTTCCTGGATAAGACACGCGAGTTGATCGATATTCCGAGACTGAGCAATAATGCCCCCTGGTCAAGGTTCGGAATGTCAACGGCACGCGCACACTTCTCGGCGACATTCCCATCCTCTAATCCTCCATTCTCATGTGCATCTGAATGTGTCCTCTACAATAATAGGTAGTGACTCCCTCGGCGTATTCCTCCTGCAAAGACTCGCATTCCGAACATGACTGCGAAGCCACCCCTCCAATACCTCTGGAGACAAGTGAGAAACCCCCGCCGAAACAGGCTAATCCCAACTAGGAGCTAAGCTGTATGACATCTCTAATGAGCCTGGTGAGAATATGCCCCTCCCGCGCTCTACACGTGCGAGCGGCATTGGCCCGTAATTCCGCAGTAAGCCGCCCGTCATTGTTCTCACTGTCAGCCTTTCAGAGAGAATGGGAAGGGGCGGGCCACCTCATTCGAGCTGGCATCCTGTTGTCTCTTATCGCAAGCTATCGCCGCCGGCGCGAAGCAAATTTTTTTAATCTTTTTTTTTTTGCTTGCCATCCATCCCCGGCACCGGCGCTGCTGTTACAGTGCAACCTTGTCGCATCCAATTTTTCTTCACCTCGTTGCTCGCCGAATAGCTCACCTTAATCAGTGAAGCTTCTCTACCTTACCTCATCTTACTTGATAAGGTACCTTTAGGTACGGACACTCTGGGTCTCCCACGATCCTAAAGTGGCGCGCAAAGACAGACGCTGCTCATCAACCGCGACCCTTGACGCGTGCCCGTTCCTGCATGGCGGGGTAAATTTCCATCACTCCTCTGCCAAAAAAGTCTGCGACAAGTGACTGCCGATCCAAGGCCACCATCACCACCACCACCATCACCCACCCACCCACGCGAACCGCTGCCGCTGCCGCTACCTACTCTACCACACGATACTCACTCACTGCCAGACTAGTCAGGCGCTCGATCAGGAAGAAACACACAGCCTCTTCTTAGCTCTGCCCTTACATATCTGCCCGCAAACCTCGGCCCGCGAAACGAACCACCCATCGTATTCTCCCTCCCGAACGCCATCATGTCCAAGTACGGCGTCATGGTCATGGGCCCGGCCGGGGCCGGCAAGGTCAGTTCTCAAAGACACCCCCCCCCCCCCCCCTTCTTCCGCTCCGTTGCCCGGTCTCCGTGCGGGCATCCAGAGCCGCCGTCCCCTACGCCAGCCGCAGCGCCGGCTACGCCCTCCTCCAAATGGCCTCCCGAAAGCTGACATTCCATCCGACCAGTCCACCTTCTGCGCCTCCCTCATAACCCACCTGAACCTCAACCGCCGTTCCGCCTTCTACGTCAACCTCGACCCGGCCGCCGAGTCCTTTGAGCACGCCCCCGACCTCGACATCAAAGACCTCATCTCCCTCCACGACGCAATGGAAGAGGTCGGCCTCGGCCCCAACGGCGGCCTCATCTACTGCTTCGAGTTCCTCATGGAGAACCTCGACTTCCTCACCGAAGCCCTCGACAGCCTCACAGAAGAGTACCTCATCATCTTTGACATGCCGGGCCAGATCGAGCTCTACACCCACATCCCCATCCTCCCGGCCCTCGCCCGCTTCCTCTCCCAGCCGGGCAGCCTCGACATCCGCCTCTGCGCCGCCTACCTCCTCGAAGCGACCTTTGTCGTCGACCGCGCCAAATTCTTCGCCGGCACCCTGTCGGCCATGTCCGCCATGATCATGCTCGAGATCCCGCACATCAACGTCCTCTCCAAAATGGACCTCGTCAAAGACCAGGTCCGCAAAAAGGACCTCAAGCGCTTCCTCACGCCCGACACGGGTCTCCTCGACGACGACCCCATCTCCATCGCCGCCGCGGGCGGCGAGCCCGACGACGGCCGCGGCGAGGTGCACGATCGCGACCTCGTTATGCGCGGACGGAGTTTTCAGAGGCTGAATCGGGCTGTTGCGGGTTTGATTGAGAGCTTCAGCATGGTCAACTACCTGAAGCTGGATAACACGGACGAGGACAGCGTCGGGGCCATTTTGAGCTATGTGGATGATATTATTCAGTACCACGAGGCGCAGGAGCCCAAGGAGCTCAAGGATGCGGAGTTTGACGAGCCGCAGGACGACTGAGCTCGGTTCTTGGTTGTCACAGGAGGCAGACGAGGCTGTTTCCTGATACCCAGGGCTTGCGTTTCCATGGCTTTCGCGTGGCTGTGACCGTGGGAGTGAACATTTTCCAGGCGCCTGAACCCCCAAGATGAATGGCAGATTGACGAAAAAACAGAAGGTTAGGGAGATATAGATGGTTGCATAGCGTTGGCGTTGGTATTTGTTTATCCATTGAACTCATTCATAATTGTGTCCGACAACAACATTCCTTGGCATTGTCCCTCTGCCTGCCACTGTAGCGTGTATCATTTGCCTGCTTGGTCCTGAGCCGTGACGGAGCTTCTCGTCTTCAATCTTCCGTCAGCTATGCGATGCTTATCCAGTCTCGTGAACCCCATTCCATGGTACTGTAGTCGTCCCCATGGCCTTGGGCGTTGTTACCAACAGGTTGAATATCGCCATCATGCCCAATTGCGTAGGCCTTGTACAATCATATCCCCCCTTCTCCAAAACAATCCAACGTCTTCCTTTCCCCGGGGTATATCCCACCATTCGATTTCCAGCAACTTTCTCCCAGACTGCTCAGCGAAGTTTCTTCTCTCATTGTGTCGTCCCCCTCACCGATACTTATTCCCCTGCACCTTCGTCTCCTCCTCATACCGTCTATACTCACTAACCCAAACATCCTTCGCAGCAGCCGCAAACCCAACAACTTTCCCGCCCAAAACAACAGCGTCCCTCGCCGTCTCAAACACGCCCCTCTGCCACACCGCCGCAACGACAACAACCACCCCACCCCAAAACGCAAGCCGCAGCACCAGCGCCGTCCAAAACGCAACCACCCGCCGGATCCAGTTCAGCACGATGACCGTCGCGGCCAGCAGCGCGAGCAGCACCGCGAAAGACACGAGCTCGGGCGACGAGTGTAAAAAGTCGAGCGTCGCGTCGACGGCGGGCGCGAGGTACGGGTAGAGCTCGTCGAACGCGCGGGAGGCGGCGCTCAGAGCTTGGGATTTGAGGTGTTGCAGGGGCGAGGAGGGGTGCAGGGCGTTTTTGTGGATAAAGTCGGCGGCGTCGGGGGGGAGGAGGGAGCGCAGGAGGAAGTTTGTGATTGAGGGTTCGGCCATCTTGAGGTGTTGATTGTTTTCTTGTCCTTGTTGATTTTCTGTGGTGGGCTTTGGGCGGAAGCTTTTCCTCAAAGTTTGTCTCGTCGTTGGAGTGATTGGAGCGGTTGGAGCGGTTGTAGAGGGTTTGTTGATACGTGTTATTTTCCCCTGTTACGTTCTTTCTCTGGTTTCTCGCTGGTCTGCTCGTGTGTTGTAGCTATCGTTTCTTTTGCTTCCAGTCGCGTGCGTGCTTTCTGTTGTGGAGGAGCGTGTGTGCCTCTTTGATGCCCGTCACCAGATGTACCCAACGAGAAGATGCAGTCTTTGTGTCAAGATGATGTTCGCAGCTCAGAGCCTGAACACTAATAAACAGACACGAAAAGAAGAAGAAAAAACGGTTGCGGTGAGGTTTGGCGAACCGGGTCTCTGTGTGGATGGGTGGAGGGAAAATGGAAATGGGCCAGGAAGGAAGGTGGAGTTGGACCCTTGGAGAGCGCAAGCAAAGCAAATCAAAAGCACGAGCACAAGCAAATGTGGTGTGCACTCAAGAAAGTGGTGTGTTGGAACTTGGTGCTGCTTTTCTCCCCAAGTGGGGAAGACAGATGAGTGGACGACGCTAAACTTGCGACGTTCATTCCCCAAGCATGTGGGAAGGGGACAAGCACCGACGTGATGACATCTAGACAAGGACACCAGGCGCTAGTGTTAAATTTAAAGACCAGGGCTCAAACATTCTAAACGTGACTACAACTAGTACTCGAAGAACTCATTTGAATTGCAATGTACTTTGTTAGATGATGCCAGAGCATGTGCTCATGCAAGGTAGCAAAACAGGAGATACCCGGCCCAAGTCCCTTGCGCTCGAGCTCCAATCCTGGGTGGCAAGGTCCAGCTTCGACTCTGAGGAAAGGTGACAGGTCAGTCTTTAGAAATAAGTCTAGGACAAAGTCCCTGAAATCGATTAACTAGGGAAATGAGTGAATAAACACGTTACTGCTCTTATTGAGAAAATGAGATATCCCGGAATAGTTGGCAAAAAATAAGCTATTGCGTAGTACTCTTGAACTAGGCTAAAGACTCGAAAGGTAAACAAGAACCGTCCAGGTCTCTCTTTAAATGATACACGCTCCCAGCACTGGTATTCTTGAAGAAACGCTTCAGACGTCGAGTCTTCTTTGGAACAAAGGAAAGGTAAGCAGCTCTTGTGCAGATGAATAGACGAGATACAAGAAGAGAAATGTACCAGCTGATACGCAGCTGTAAGAACGTACAAGAAGGGTATCGAAGTCGAAATAGGAAATGAATCGTCAACCGATTTGGTTTGCGTGGAAAATGACAAGCTTCCTCCGCCCAGCTCCGTTCCCCCCTTCAATCGCAGCCTCCCACTTTTCATTTGACATTATCAGTTATTCGTTTTAGACAACAATGTTTGATGTCCTTGACCTGTTGCTGTCGCTGCGTCATGCAGCCTAGCCCCTATTACTGTTTGGACTCGAACGGGTCCAATAGATCATCGACATGAAAAGAACAATGAAACCATTATGAAGTTTCGCCCATGCCCTCCAAGATCCGGCGAGCCGTATCGATGCGTCTTCTGTACATCCGACTCCCCGATGATGCCTTACCAGCCTCGCTCATTGCGAGCACGCACCTCCCAAGGCTGGCAACGAAGCGTTCGACAAGGATCTGGTCCTCCTTGGCCAGTGCTTCCATGGGCGCAAGCTGATCAGGAGTATGCATACTCTCCTTGTCGCATATGCTAGCGGTCTCGCTCATGAGAGCATCAGAAATCGTCTTCAGCTCCAGCTCGGGAGAGCCCTGAGGTGTAAGAACACCGACGCTAACGCGCGCCTTACCCACCAACGGGAAGCTTCGGTTGGTACCCGTGGAGTCGAAGGAAGCAGTCGACGGACGGTGACCCATCGTTGCTTGGGTACTCATCGGTCGACGGTAGGCCATGGAACCAGCGCGCGCGCGTGTCCTCGGTTCCTCCAGAACGTCCTCGCCACCCATAGTGCTGCCAATAGTTGACCGCTTGGCAGTTGGGGGGCTCTCAGTGTGCTCACTGATCGGGCTGACGCTCGGTGGAGTAAGAATACCGTGTCTCAGGTCCTCGCTAACATCGTTTGTACTGATTCTGCTGCCTCGCCCCGAGCGAGCCGTGGCAAAAGACTCAATGGTTGAGATAGTGTCGCCGCTGCCTCTGCGATGGTGTGATCTTGGCCGAATCGACTCATCCGACGTCATCGGTCCGCGGGTCGTCTCGACGGAGCTTTCGGAACTAACGCTGCCCCTACGCTGTTGGCTCAGGTTGCCCAGTGCACTGTGGAGGAAGAAGTGTTCGTAATCGAAAGCGTCTTCTCGATCTTCGTGGGACAAGAAAGTCTGGACCGTATCGTGGTAAAGGGAGTCGCCACTCTCGCTGTCATATCCTCCTCCCTCTTGGACCTGCACACTATCTTCGAAGCCATCTTCAGTGTGCATATCAGAGATATCGTCTTCGTCATCGTCAACTGCGTCATCCTGGTCCTTGTTTGCCTCCATAGCATCGAGGGCCTTTTGTCGCTCTTCCAGCCGGATGGCTTCTTGGGCTGCGTCATACTCGTCTGCCACGGACTCGTTGTCTTCCACGATCGAAGGCTCCTGTAGCTCGACTAGTACATCGGATGGGAACTCCCGCTCTTGGACCAGCCCGTCAACACTGACTGCATCGGCATTCCATGGGTTCTTGTCCGACGTAGCAGTCAAGGGCGGCGATTGCTGATCTTGAGATTTGGCGTACCACTGATCAACCTGCGCATGAGTAAAGGGGCTTGGCGTTCGTAAACTTTGGAGACTGCGTCGTCGCATTGTGTCCGCGCGGGCCTGCTCTCTCAGGGACGAGATCTTGCCTTTTAGATCTTTTACCTGTCCCTTCAGATCGCGCATCTGCGCTACCGATGCTGAGCGCACCAAAGGTCGATCGCGGCTCGAGGAACTGAGTGCCGGGCTCAGCAAGCTTTCACGCTTAGTATCATCGCTTCCTGAGTGGATCTCTTGTGCGACTTCATCCTCGCCAAGGGGTTCCAGGCTTATTTCTTGGGCCGCCTTGTAACGGGACTGACCCTCCCCTCCAGAGTTCAGGCGTTCCAACGTAGAATCGTGAACGTTCTTACGCACGGAGTACGGTTGTCGATAGCCTCCGGCCGCTCCCATGGCACTGGCGGACCTTCTTGGGACAGTGCCGTTATTGCCTGTGTCGTAGTTGAGAGACGTATCACTCAACATCCTTGCGTGCCCGTGAATAGACGTTGGCGATGTTGCTGATGAGGCAGGGCGCAGAATCGTGGGAGACGGGGTCGAGTTGTTGCCGTCGAACGAAGACATGGAAGGAGTTGAGATACTCAAGGAGCTTCGCGCTCTCGACAAGTTGCCTTCCATGGTCTGGAAATGTCAGCCTGCCCTTCTTACTATTTCACCGGAGCCAAAACCTACCGTCAGCCTCCGCTTGGCATTCGCCAGAATCTGCTCCGCTCGTCGACTGATGAGCGCGGTCGAGTACCTGTTGGGGTCGTCGAGAGATTCACTGGGTGGTCGATGTATGACGTGTGCCTGGTGGACAGATACATCCTCCGCATATGATTCTGCCACACTCTCTTCGTCGTCGCCCTGGAAGTTGCTGTCGTCGACGCTTACGGTGTCGTCAAAGTCGGCAAACATGGCGTTGTGATCTTGAGTGGTGGTGATGGTGCTCGTGGACTCTACGGAAGACCGGCGCGAACGCGTCGCTTGAGCCGCCCGTTTCTTCAAGCTTTCAAGCATCTTAGTGGGTGATTGTGGCTGTCGTAAATCGTCGCCGCCTCGATTATTGGGCCTTGACCAGATCACCGAAGTCGGGCGTGATCTCCTCCCGGGCGTGCTCTCGGCCTCGGTTACCTCACCAATATCGGACAGCATAGTTCCGTTTCCGTATATTATTGGTGTCGTAGGAGTGATGGGGCCGGCGATATATGCGCTGGGAGGGAATTGGAACTGCATGTTCATATCGACAGCATGCGAATTCTTCCACATTGTCAGCGGAGAATGGGACCGGTCGGGAGAGGGCGAGCGATCGTAGTCGGGTAGAATCATGTCGGGATTCGTCAATGTAGGAGAGGCAGGCCGCGGGGGATACGATGAGGTGGAGCTCGAGTGAGCATGGCCCGCGTGGGCGTTTAAAGTCTGAGTTGCCATTGTTGTTGATGGCCAGAATTGGTTGCAAACGACTCAGGTACCGTTTGTGCAGCCTCCTGCGCAGTGTTTGATCTAAGCTGCAAGACGTTGATTGTCGTTGCAGCGGTCGTGGAGTCTAGCGACACAAAGCGAGTCGGTCCCCAACGGGACTAGCTGCAATTAACCGGTAAACTTTCAAAGGCGCAAGAACCTCAATGGACAGTCACTCTTTGTAAACAATAAGCAACAGTCAGGACGAAGGCATCTGGGCAAAGTTTCGGGCAAAGTCAAAACGTTGCCCACGTCTGCTTGGCCCGTGGCCCGTTCGGTCGTGATTCGGATGGATTAAGAGTTGGTTTCCAGGGTCGAGCTGGTTGTCAGGTTTGCAACCAGATCAGATGAAGCTAAACGTGCTACAAGCAAGTCGCGGAAGTTTTGGCGGGGTTCGAGGCAAAAGTGCAGGTTGAACAAGAACCGTCGGAAATGTCGTTGAGAGTCGGTCTCCTTGGGGCACCGCCGTAGATATGCGAGATTGGGTGGTGGCTTTTGCGGGCGCTGAGTGTAGAAGCGTGGCAGCAAGTGGGAGTCCGTTTGCGGGAATAGAGACGTCGTTCGTCGTATACATGCGCAAAGGCAGCAAACAGGCTGCAGTGGCCGGGGTAGGTGGCCGGACCGAGGAAGTCGAGGTGCCGGTCTGTCGTCGAAGGAAGAAAGAAATCGGGATGCAAGAGCAAACGGCGTCCGTTGTGAGCGAATCCGGCTTTTCTCTCCCCTTCTTGTCCTCCTCTTGCAACGTGTTGGGGTGATGATGCACAGCTGTGTCGCGACAG